GTTTAAATAAAATCCCAATTCCTCCTTATTTTTTTAATTTAAGGAAATATATACGTTGCTCCTATTGGTCACTTATAGGACATTCCATTAGTGAATGTTCCATTAATTAATTAGGTAATTAATTACAATAGATACACCATAATAATTACACCATAATAATTACCTCTACAATCAGGAACCCTAACATGTTCCCCGCGATTACCATACTTGGACCCCAAGTATTGTAATCTATAACACACTGTCGGTAGATAACTGTCACTGATCGAGAAAACCTGGAAATTGGCTGTAGTGCTGAGGTGCCATCCCCCATCAAAACCATAATGCAACATAAGACACTAACCACCATGTCATGCTAACTGTTAAAGTGGAGATTTCCACAGCAAGTCCGGTCCCTCTCCACGGCAGAGATATGAGGAATTTCCATGTAAGTTCTCTCTACATGGCCCTTGTTACCATGAGACTTACCCGATCAGTTAACTCAAAAACTGATCACACCTCAAAACTCTTGCTAAGGATTCACCCATAGTGCTGAAATCTAACACAACTAACAGCTCAAGGAGCATGACCAAACCCAAAGTGTCTGCATGCGGCGTCATACCCCAGGGAACTCAACAGCCAATGACAGGTTACCACTCATAGTACTTGTACCTTCTAAACCTGATGAAACAATAGTGTGTCATCCATAATCTCATGAGATAACATTAATGTGTAACATCATAATATAACTGATAATATCTTTAACTAACACAACCATTGGTAGTATGAAGTATGATTCAAGTATGACTGTTATAGAATACAGTAATAAGAAACCCGCCAGTACTCTATGACTGAGCATAACTATAGTTAAAACAAATACAGTATTAAACTTAATGAAACAAAAACATCAAATTATATTATTATATTATTAACTTCATACTTGTCATATTACAGCATATAACACAATAAAACACAACTATGGTATAAAAAAAAGTAGTAAAAAAATACAATACTGTAAGCATGGTAGGATAGAATAAAATGAGGTGGGAAATCATTTACGAGAAACTGCAGATCGTGGCCATTTGCAAGGGTTGCTATGGGTACCTCTAGTTGATCGTGTTGATCGTCGTGGAATGTTTGCAGTAGTAGATCCTGCAGCATCATACAATGGTGGATTCCGATGAGTGAAAATCCAGCTTTGTGAACAATCATCTTCCTCATCACTTGATAGTTCAATGTCTTCAACTTCGATGTTGCGTTCCTCTCTTGGATCTGAGATTAGGAGTTTTCTATTTACTGTTCGTGTAGGTCCGCCGAGAGCTGGGCGTATTGTGTACACATCGCCGGCATCATTAACCCAAACTACTATAAATGGATCATGGTGAAATTTATCAACTAGCTTATGTCGTCCGTCAAATGCGCACTGCCTTAAAAGCACTCTGTCACCAATTCCAAATTGAGGAATCATTTGTCGGGCATTTTCTCGACTCCTGTCGCTCTCAATGTTGCGCTCGATACAATCCTTTGCGACTTTGTGGGCCTGCTGGATGGAAGTGGCTTGTTGTTCAATAAAATCTTCTTTCCAGTCTTCGCGTGAGTTATTTAGAAGTTGGTCTAGTGGTGTGAATGGCTCACGTCCATACAAAAGACGAAACGGCGAAACACCAGTCACACTGTGGGGCGTTGAATTATATAGGAACACCAGATGTCCTAACAGCTCTGGCCACTTTCTCCTCTTAGTCTGATCTATGGACCTTATCATTCCACACAATGTGCGATTGAACCTTTCAGTTTGACCGTTTCCTTGCGGGTGATAAGGTGTGGTTCTTGACTTTTGGATATTATACAATTTGCAGAGTTCCTTTATCACCAGGCCTTCAAAGTTCCTGCCTTGGTCCGAGTGTAGCCGCTGTGGCGCACCATAGTAGTTAAACCACTTATCTTGTAGGACCTTCGCTACTATTATTGCTGATTGACTTCGACAGGGAACTGCTTGAGCGACTTTTGTAAATGCGTCTGTCATAACTAAAACATCCTCGTAGCCACCCTTGCCCGTGTCAAGTTTAAGGAAATCAATGGCTAGTAACTCAAATGGACGGAACGCGACTAGATGGCGTTTAGGTGTACGAATCATAGGTTGAGTTGACTTAGATGTTGTGCAAGTGAAGCATTTCTTAATGTGTTGTCTTACATCATTTTGAAGTCCAGGCCAGAAGCATCTGGTCTTTAAAATACCAATAGTTCTAGTAGCTCCCTGGTGACCCCACTCGTCATGTGCCATCTCTAGCATCTTGTGGCGAAGGCTATGAGGAATGAGTAGTTGTCGGCAGTCATCAGTGGTAGATTGGACTTCTCTGTATAGCACTCCTCTCCACTCTTTGAAGTAAGTAATTTGTTTCAGCCAACCTCTTAACTCAGGAGAGTCGTTAGTGATTGGTTGCCCTGACTTCCAGTTGCTTTGCCAACACTCCCAAACCTTTCCCAGGGTTTCATCGTTCTGTTGAAGACTGGCTAATTGCTGATGAGTGTAGGATGGAAATAAACTGTGTGCCTCATCTTGAGGATGACTATCTTTGATGATGCAGTCTGTGTTTAGGATGTTTGTCGGTACTAAGCTGCAAGCTGTTACTTCTCTTACTATTACCTGTACATCGCATGCTTCGATATCCGGACACCTACTTAGTGCATCTGCACATTGGTTTGCCTTTCCTGGTTTGTACTTGATGTTGAGATTGAAAGGTGCAAGCTGGGCAACCCAACGGTGCTCTGTTGCGCCTAACCTTGCTGTCTTAAGATGAACTAATGGGTTGTGATCAGTAAACACGGTGCACTTTGATCCTCTGATATACGACCCAAACTTTTCAGTAACTGCCCACTTAAGTGCTAGGAGTTCAACCTTGAAACTTGAAAGATCTGCATAATTTTTCTCGGCACCTCGAAGACTGCGGCTGGCATAGGACACCGGGTGAAGTTTCCCATCATCATCTGTTTGCATTAAGCATGCCCCAAGCCCGTTGAAGGAAGCATCAACTTCAATGACAAAGTCCTTACCAAATTGCGGGTATGCTAAAACAGGTGTTGTGGAGAGAGCTACCTTTAGAGACTGAAATGCTTCATCGGCTTCTTTTCTCCATTCAAATGGTTGTTTCTTCCCCGCATTTCTCGTTTTCTTTCCTGTCAATGTGTGTAGTGGAGCAGCAATCTTTGAGAAACCAGGAATAAATCGCCGGTAGTAGGATGCGAGGCCTAAGAAAGAACTAATTTGTGATGAATCCTTTGGAGTTGGCCATTTCATGATTTTCTCTACCTTGCTGGGATCTACCGCTATACCATTGCTGTTGACTATGTGTCCTAAGTGTGCAACTTCAGTTTGGAATAACTTGCATTTGGAACCCTTAAGCTTCAGACCATGTTGTTTTAGTCGCCTGAACACTTCTGCTAGTCGTTCCAAGTGTTCGTCGAAGGTGTTTGAGAATACAAGAATGTCATCAAGGTAGAGCACCAACTTGTCAAGGTTCAAGTCGCCAAATATCCTTTCCATAATTCGTTGAAATGTACTTGGGCTATTGCATAACCCTTGCGGCATGCGATTAAATTCAAACAATCCCCATGGTACTCGAATTGCAGTAAGTGGAATGGAATCTGGATGCATAGTGACTTGGAAATAACCGTGTGACAGGTCCATAGGTGAGAAATAGCGAGCTCCTCCAAGTGCTTCAAGTGTCTCATCGATTCGTGGCAGTGGGAAGGAGTCTTTGATTGTGATTGCGTTAAGTTGTCTATAATCGACACAGAGTCGTAAAGCTCCCGTGGGTTTCCGAACAATGACAACTGGACTAGCATAAGGGCTTGATGAGCGTTGGATGATCCCCTTTTCAAGCATGTCCTGCAAAAGTTGCTTCACCTCAGTCATCTGTGTGGGTGGAATTCTACGGTATGGCATACGTATTTGCTTATCGGTGTTTAATTTTATTTCGTGGGGAATAAGGTTGCAATGCCCTAGGTCAAATTCATTTGTTGAGAAAACATCTTTATGGTCAACAAGTAACCTGGCAACTTGGTCAGCTTCATCGGGATTTAAGTTGCTTAAATTTACACCTGCTGGTAGCTCTAACATTGTACCATCTTTGCATAGATGTTTGTCATTCTTTGGGTTTGTATGTACAGTTGAAGATGGATTGTGCATTACTTTGTTCTCTTCAATGTAGACCTCCTTGATGTCCACTTGTAGGAAATCATCTGTTTGGAAGGTTACGACTTGAGCTTGCTGAGCCAGCTGGACAGCTGCTGCTACTCTTGTTTTTGGTTGTAGAATCAGCTCCTCATCTGCTGAATTTGATACAAGTAGACTTAAACTTGATGAACCAGAAACACAACCTTCTATTACTTCTAAGCTTGAACCATCAGTGGGTGATTCTACTAGCCAAACACTCTCTGCATCGACAGGACTTATCGTATCAGCTTCAAAACAACAATCAAGCCGTTTCACAGATCTTGGGGGTACAACTTCGAGAAGGTCTCTTGTTACTATACTCCGCTTCTGATTGTGATGTCCACTGGGTATAGTATTGGTGGATTCTCCGGGCATCTGAAGACTGTTTATCACCATGCTGAGATTCCCTTGCAAGCCCGAGTCACAAGATACATCAGTTAGTAGCCGTAAAGCGTTGCAACCTAAGATTAGGGGATAGTCTTCTTTTCGGCCACATCGAGGCGTGCTTTCCCCTACAACTAAGAAACCGACGACAACAGTCTTGTTCCCCAAAATCACCGGGACTCTTACATAGCCTTCTACTGATATCTTTGTCCCTGTGACACCAACTATCTTGATGGCTGATTCGAGATTGCCCATGGGACCAATTCGTGGCTTAAATACTTCGTGATAAATAGTGGCAGGAATTATAGACGCTTCTGCTCCTGTGTCGAGGATGCAACCAATATCCACACCGGCAACATTTAGTATCATCTTTGGGCTAGGTGCTAATAACCCTAACTTAGTTGATTCGGACTGTTTAGTCAACGTAGACTCATGTATTGAAATGGGCTGTCTGCTATCCCCTCCTACCATTTTGCCCCTTGTGGCGGAGGGTAGAAGTTTTCCGGATGCTGGTGTTCGGGCTTTTGCTGAGTGATCTGTTGACGCTGTGCATTCTCTTGCAACATGTAGGTTGTCTGCGGTCGGTGATTAGCCTGAGGTGGTTGAAAGCTTGGCGATGACTGATAACCTGCTTCTGGTTGGTAGTTTGAATGTGGCTTGTGAGCTGGCTGTCGTTGATAGACTGATTGTGATGGATAACCCAGCTGTAGTTGACAAGCACCTTGTCTTCGACCTGAATTCCGGCAATGACGTTTGTAATGGCCCTTTTGACCACACTTGTAGCATGTAATTTCCTTGACAGGAGTTTTGCCTTTGGTAGTAGGGCCTGGTCTATCCATTCTCTCGATAACTAATCTTAATTTTTCCATCTCGTCCTTTAATGTGCTAACTTCTCGTGATAATTCTCTCTGTTTTTCTGTCGATTTGTCGGCTCGTTCATGCGATGTAGTGTGTACCCGATCAGCATATACTTCATATACGCCAGGAGGTCGTCTAGAAGCTGGTTCTTGGTCTTGAAAGAATTCTAGAGCACTTCGACGCATCTCCATAAAGGATCTCCCTCTGCATTCAATCTCTATTCGCCGTAGTTCTCGGTGAACCCACTTTTCACGTACCCCTCGAACCAGTCTTTCCTTAAGAGTGTTGTCCCTTAACCTTGTCAGTGCGGCTCTTTCAGTGGCATCTGATGTCGCGGCCTCCATTTTTCCGTATATCCGCATCAACGCTAGGCTAAACTCTGCCAGACTTTCACCGTCCTGCTGCACTCTATTATGTAAGGTCTCACTCAGGGATGCATTGGTTTCTTGAGGACCGAATCTCTCCTTCAGTACTTCTATTATCCTCCTGTGGTCTCCACGTACATCTAATCCGTAACATAGTAGTTCTTCCTTGGCACTTCCACCTAGGTGATCAAGTAGTGCTTGTGCTCTTCTCGCATCGCTCAGCCCATATTGGTTCGCGTAAGCTGCAAAGTCTTCAAGCCATTCGGTCAAGGAAGGCTCACTACTTGCTTTGGAACCTTTGAACTTTGTTAACTTCACACCTGGATGCACATGATGCACATTGATTCCCTGTAATGCCGTTGCTATGGTTTGAAGAATTTCCTGGGTGGAAGGACCTGCATCATCTTGGTTCGCCATTATGTGTGAAATATGATTACAGTAGGGTACAAATATATAATTATTGATGAATCGAGAGAGAAAAAAATATGTTACAAAATAATCATCAGAAAATAAACAATATATTGCATAAAACAGACAAGTCTGTATAATAGTATAAATATTTCAATCAAATATAAATCTTTAAAAAAAATCTTGAATATACAATGATGTAATTAAACTATGTTGCGTTGATTCTTCATTCTTCAGCAGGATAGTCGGTCTTCTTCCGCAAACTGAGGCTGCTTCATTCGGATAAACGTATTGTTACCTTTGTCTGTTGTCTTGTTCATCCCACTTCTGACACCACTGAGACAGGCTGTAGTTGGCCTCCCAAGCTATAAAGTGTGGGGTAGCGGTCGACACGTCAATAACAGACAGTACATCTCAAATAAAGTTCACTCGTATTTATTTATGTAAAAACAGCATCTAGTAAACAGCCTCTGTAAAAGAGATATATCAAAATAACACCACTTGCCCATACAAATCATAGGCATTGAAATCATAAATTAATCTAACATTTTACAACTTAACATCATACAGTTTAACATCAAGACCAGAGCACTTGAGATTGTGCTAAATGTAATCGTAAACAGAAGATTCAACTTATCCGTGCATAGTCAATTATGATAACCACATTACATGACATCATTCTAGTGTTTATAATATTCAACATGATATTCGGTTACATAAAAAGTATAATATAAAATACAGTAGCTTAAATATAATGGTCACTTAATTATAACCACTCACCGGTTTGTGGCGATTACACAGTGTATTCTGTTCAGGAATTACCATATACGTAGAGTAGTTAATATAATCTATAGAAGTAATAATGATTTAGTGTAAGACATAATAAATATAAAAATATGAGAACATAAACACATAATTAATATTCATGTCACATGATCTAAGATAAGGGACGCCACCTATTGGGCACCATAACAAACAGCGCCACCTTTTGAAAGGTATAAAACAGCGTCACCATATGGTGAGCTTTCCTAATCATTAAATCTTAATACAATACTAATGGCGGCCATCTTAAACCAGCCACACATGTAATCCTTATTATCTTATGAGATTACAATAGGTTACTTATAGCAATACTATAGGTAAAGTAATGCTTAATAAAATGCAGACTAAATATAATATAAATACTAACTAAAGAATATAAATAGACATTAGAATAATTAAGTAGAACACCTTCTGTATTCATATGTGCATCTAATTCAACAATTAGACTTCAATCAATTGTTATTCAAGCCATAACAATTAGAAAAGCATATCTAATTTACTCTACTACAGTATTCAATATGAGCTAATAGAGTACTTATAGAACTAAGGAATTACGTTGTAATAGTAACTGTAATTACTTACATTTCTTCTTAATCCTTATACAATTCTTAAATTGACCTTTCTGAATTGTAACAAAAGAGACAGCTTAACAAAGTACACATCTGCTCTCCTCGATGGGTAAAACAAAAGAGAGCAATAAAATGCTATAAGCTTAGCTTGGCTTGGGTGTCCAGCAGTACCCCTTTCCTATTGGTCACTTATAGGACATTCCATTAGTGAATGTTCCATTAATTAATTAGGTAATTAATTACAATAGATACACCATAATAATTACACCATAATAATTACCTCTACAATCAGGAACCCTAACATTAACCACGCAAGTTTCCTATACTTCGTGCCCAACGTACAGGGCACTCTGTTGCAAAGTATATCCAGACGCAAAAGGCGCCCTTCCTTTTCCACTAATGGAGGAAAACTTTTTCACTAAGAGTGCATCCGGCCATGCGATCCAGATTAAGTAAAAAAAATTAGCTTTATTATTCTAATTAGAGACTAAAAAGCGGATATAGGCTATGCTAGGTAGGTAGACCATGGAAATCCCGGTCCAAAAAGTGGTCTTAAGTAATTAGAGTTAGACCTGTATTAATATTATTAAATTTCCTTTACCAAAAGAGCTCCATTTTCACGTCATTCATGACTAACTGCATTATACTAGCGTTATTATACGAACGAATAATATTTAGTACGGTACTTTTTTCATTATTTTAGGCTAGTCTAATTATTTATTTATTTTTCTTCAATATCTTAGCTAGGCAAGTCAATAGGCCTAGGCTAATTCATATGTCAAAATGTTAATATATATTTATATATAGCTAATTTTTTGTTTAATGTCAGTGCAATATTTGACCTTTCTCTATCCTTGGGAAATCGATATAATTATGACCCTGTTTTTATGATGTGTTGCAATTTACTGCATAGCAACGCCCTCCAATACCGTACGTCGCCATAGCGCATCGCGGTGTACAATTTTTTAATTGAGAATTGATAATAAAATACGCGACGACTTGTTAATGAAAGTTTGACACAAGTTTTTTTAGATCCAGCTGTAGGGGGCGTCCCATTGTTCGTATTCCCACCATGCATTTCGGTGGAACACTTTTTTTGTGTGGAGAACTCTATCTTGTATTTCTAGTATCTTTGGGGAAACTCACAAACTCGGTTCAATCTGTTGTTTTTGATTACACATTCTAAACACAATTTTAACAAAAGAGACAGAAACATCCTAACAACACAATTGCCTTGACAAATAACAACAAACCTAGTCCTTATAAAACAGGATAATGAACTTTTATCCATCAAGTTCCTTTATTAGCTTACCAATTTTTACCAAACACACTATGTGAAAATGAATGCATCCAAATCAGTTAACTACGGAAGCCCGTTAGTGTCAACAGTGAATAAAAATTTCAAATCAGTTATCTGGCGGCCGCCAGATAATTATGTGGCGGCCGCCACATAATTATCTGGCGGCCGCCACTTATTTATGGGTACCAAGGTTGCGGTATAGCATTATCTTGATGTAGAACAGGCCATTAAAGAGCATGATTGGCCTAGCATTTAATATACGGTAGCATTTAGCCTAGCTATTCATTTTAGCTACAGCTTGTAATAGTTTATAGGCCTAATAGCAGTCATATAGTCATTCACAAAATTAGCAGTCATATAGCCATTCACAAAATGTATCTATATCTTTGATGTAGCACATCAACTGTATTATATGTTCTATTTTGCTGTTTATGTGAGTGTGATATTGTCTGTTATAGCTGAGTTAAATATTAAAGGGCATTAAATAGTGATTAAAAGCATACAATTAGCTGGTCACCAGCTATACCTTATAATGGCAGTCATATAGCAATTACATGGTTAAGTATTAAATAGCGATTAAAAGCATGTTCAGATGTGTATAAGAGACTATAGCTTATAATAGCAGTCATATAGCACCCATTTCACAAAATATAACATCACTAGGAAGCATTAAATAGCGATTAAAAGAATGTCATTAAATAGGCGTTTGCGATGATAGGCGTTAGGTTTAAGCATGGAGGAAATATATTATTATTAATAATTATTATATATATTATTATTAATATATTTCCTCCATGGTTTAAGCAAGTCATCAGGCGTTTGCGACGATAGGCTTTAAGGATAAACATGTCAGCCATTTTACCATGTCCGCTAATTAATAGATGTTCGCACCAGCCATTGTATATTAATGAAGAGGAATTAGGGTTAATAAGATTTTCAACTGTGTACGCTAATGTATAGGCATTTTCACCGGTCATTTGCAATTGAATATGTTATTTTTCCTATTTGTTATCGTCGCAAACGTATCTTCAATGGTAAAATACTGACGTGCTCCAAACTTAATCCACAAAATAACCATATAATCTATCGGCGCAAACGCCTGACGTGCTTAATTCTAAACGCCTATTCAATGGTAAACCAGTGACGTGCTTAACCATAACGCCTGTTGTTGCAAACCCCTGACGTGCTTAACCCTAACGCCTATCTTCGCAAACGCCTATTCACCTGATCTGCACAACCCTAATGCCTATCATCGCAAACCCCTATTCAATGATAAACTGCTGGCGTGATTAACCCTAATGCCTATCGTTGCAAACGCCTTTTAAATGGTAATGTGCTAAATTGCTTAACGGTAACGCCTATCGGCGCCAACGCTTGGCGCTGTCTCTTATACACATCTAGATGTGTATAAGAGACAGATATGAACAGTATTAAAGTTTTTTTATTTATTTTTTAGGTAGTAGTCGTAGAAAATGACGGGGCCCGGAGAGACATCAGAGGTGGAGGGTTTATACTAACTCAACCCCACCAAGGTTTGGGCTCTGAGGTGTGAAAATGTACGATTATGGCACTCCTAGATGGCCGGAAATGACACTCCACTTAAAATTTATATACCATTTAATTTTTTTTCCAAAAATAATGCTATACCGCAACCTGGGTACCCATAATTAAGTGGCGGCCGCCAGATAATTAAGTGGCGGCCGCCAGATAATTAAGTGGCGGCCGCCAGTTAACTGATTTGAAATTTTTATTCACTGTTGACACTAACGGGCTTCCGTAGTTAACCAAGCCATTTCGACTTTACAGATTTCATTTGAAATTAAAGCTTGCTGAAGGTGTATCATGGAGACGTATTATTGGATGCTTTTGCTAATTGCTTCCACAGGAGCACAAGGTATGTGTCCCAAGTTGCAATAATGCACATCCCAAAGATCGAAACACACCTAATTATATTTACGGTTGTGCATGGTGATATCCATTGGCACTGACTTCCGGGAGACAATAATCCTTTCCGGAGTGTCGATCGGATTCGTAACTATTTTAGTGCATATTCGGTCTCAGCAGCTTTTCTAAACTAATCAAGGAAATTGGTGCACACAAAATTTAACAATTGCAGTGGCAAGTGTCAGAGCATTCGAAATATAGGGTCCAAGGAGGGTATTTCACAGGTGGAGGGTGCAGACTAGACTTGCCACAAGTCTCTAATTATGGATTTTTCGTAGTATTATAATAGCGCATTTCGGAAAGCGCCACCAGCGTCAATTTATGTTGAGAAACTTTTTTCAGAAAAAGTATACTATGGAACGCCATGCAAATAAGTAATATGGAACGCCATTTGTGCCAAAATCGATTTATTCTTAACCTTTTCAACTGATTAAGACAAAGATTAGGGACTGAAACCCAGTCTAGGTGCAGACCACCTCAGCCCCACTATAGTTAGGGCTGACGTAAGAAAATTTATGATTATAGCACCTCTAGATGGCCGGAAATGTTATCAGACTTTTAATATTCCATTTTTTTCCTATTCAACCAATGAGTATAAATGGGTACATGGTAGGATGTTGTGTGATGATTGATCGTGCACTAGTTTCGTGCAACAGAGAGGGTGGCACTTGTGCTGGATTTCCGCCAGGATTTGCCCTGTCTCTTATACACATCTAGAGGGGGGGGGGGGGGGGCGTTTCCCCCGACAAGTGGTCAGATTTCCCAGACGAAAGCAAGGTGGGTGTGGTCGAGCTTCGGTTTAAAGGTTTTTAGAAAGTGGTACAGGGGGAGAAGCCCCCGAAAATTTGCCAATTTAGGGGTTTCAAAAGCATTTCGATTTTAGAGTCTAATAAAAAAAAAACATAAAAACTAATATGTAGAAAATACTTTTTTTTTCTCCCCGACGAATTGTGCTTTTTCTCGCCGGTGGGGGTGGGGGAGCTCTCCCCGACGGCCCCCCCCCCCCCCTCCGTGGCGCCAACCCTGGTTGCCGCTGTTTGATCCAGTGACAGGTAATTACGCTCAGCGCCTATGATCATTCGTTTGGAGTTGGCACTACATAAACCACCGCCGCCGTCTACCACCTCCACCACTTCGTCGGTGATGACTCGGGCTATGTCACACTTAATTTGCTGAAAAAGCATGTGCGTGATGTCAGTTGAGGTGTGCTTCAGCGCATGTATTGTCACCCCTCATTGCACTAATTGTACATTGTAATAGATAACAAAAACGCATCGATAACAATGAAAGTTTAATAACAATGTAATTTCTATTTTGGAATGGGGCCTACTCTATTTAATAATTTTTATTTAATTTTTTGCTATATTTTCGAATGTATAATCAATTTCAGCCCTTGCGGCCAGTGGATAGCATAACTATTTTAAATGGGGTTCTCTTTTCTGCATGATTGCCATTTCAGAATTCTACATATATTTATTATTGGCCTTCTATCTGTAAAGATGTATTAATTCACAAACTCAAGTCAGAAGTGGAACGTGCAATTTGGATTTGGTTTTAGTGAGATTTGCGAGATAAAATTCAGCTAAACGTTTCTCGACTGAGACGTCAGTGGGAGCTGTAATCTGTATGGCAAGGAGATGGTGCTACCCTTAATTAATATTATAGAATTTACGCCCACAAACCTTGTAGTTATTAATATTTTTGTTATAATAGAAAATTCTTATTTTTTGGTGACGTCACACTCACAATATTAACATGCTTACGTCATAAGCTTACGTCACCTTTTCCTGGTAAGGCAAACTTTCCCGACGTGCTTTTTTCATGGATAAACACCACTGCTTAGCATATGTTGCCTAGCTAGGGCTACAAGAGCCGCATTGTTAGCATTATACTTAAACAAGGTACGTCTGCAACTGAATTATTCTTAGTTATTTTTTTTTTCTTATTTTAATTTATTTCTTTCGAAAGTGTACTTTCTATAACATATTCACATATACAATTGCACTGTCTACTGAGGCAAGGCTTAGGTTAGGCCTAGGCCTAGTCTTACTAAATAATAATAGCCTCACCGT